TAGAAACATTTGATGATAATGAGCTTTTAAAAAGGTATCACCTTTGGTTTTGGAGGTTACCCCAACTCCTAATTTTCCTTTGATTATATCCTTGTTTTCATTAACCAGTTGGGCAAGAAGCAACAGCTGTTCTTGCATGAAGTTTTTTTTTATGTTTGCATGTATTACTTTCAGCCAGGATTATTCTACTCTGTCAATTAAAAGGCTGTTTATATGCATATCAACGCTACCTGTTTTTGAGAAGCATACATGTAAGAGGCTGACAATAAACTGAAAATATACTTGTTTAATTAGTGACACTTATGCTGCATTTTAAAATCTTTATTTGAATGTGACAATTAACATTTTTTTTATTTTTTAAACCTTTATTTAAATACGGCAACATAATATTGCGCTCTACAATATTTCCATGAATAAATCTCTGACAGAGACTATCAGCCAATCACTGTGTGCATAGTTAGTAAGCACGCTGACATCATCCATAGCAATGAGGTCAACCCCGCCCCCTTACTCTGAGCTTAAGACTTCGGTCTATTCCTTAGTAAAAGTTTGTCTCAGCAGCTTTGTGAATAGGGTTTAAGAGGAAACTCTTAGCTAAAAACTTTTACTGCTATTTAGGAGAACTCTTAGTGGTAACATAAAATGTTTTGTGAATACGGGCCCTGATTATTATCCATCCTTTATTTTTGGGGGGTATAAAATACAACTTAATAGGTATTACGTAGTTAGCTACTTAACTTGTAATGTAGCTGTCACAGAGTCACCAGTAACACCAGATCCTTCAGCTCCACCAGAATTCTGATGCTCTTCACCTGTCAGCACTCATCAGTCTCAGTATTTAACCACATTCCCATCACCAGCTCAGTGTCTGGTCTTATTGTTCACTAGCGTGCATCAACTTACCTGGCTGCTTACCTGCTCTACCTACCTGTTCGTTGTCTGCCATCATCGTCTGTCTTCATCCCAGCACACTGTCTCAGCCTCACCATGCAAAGAGACCCACAGTGACTATTCAGCTAAGTCTATGCTCAAGATTCTCAGCCATATTATCTCACCTGTGATCATCTCTTGCTCTCTCCTGAAGCCTGTAATAAAGCTCTATTAGACAGTCACAAGTACAAGTAGCTTGTTACTTGGCAAGCTAGTTTTAAAGTAGCTTCTCCGACACTGCATGAAACGGGTTTTCATTTTAAAAAGATGTTCCTGCACACATCCAGCAGGCCGACTTACCCAAGCATGAAAATTACATCATTGCACAGTGAAAACCAATACTCATTTCTTACTAATTAAAAAAATAAATAAAGATATGTATGCATGCTTGCTATATCTGTGGGTGTTTTACTAGACCCTAGTACAAAAACCTATGCCATAATTTACGTTTATTTCATACTAAGTATACTTCACATCCATTAACATATTTATTGACATCACTTAAGACTTACTGATATTAAATTATAATATAATAAGGAGTATTTCTTTATTGCACAATGCTCATTTCTTAACATTATGCCTAAAATGTGTTTTAATGTCACTATTGATGAAGACTGTATGATCTTTGAATAATATCTGTCTTTAAATGCAAGAAATTTAAAGTAGACCTGAAGTATACTTGCAAGATTTCCACTTCAGCACAATCATCTATACTTCAGTATGTCTTTAGTTGGACTTCAGCACTACTTCCGCATTAAGTACAAAATTAGCTGTTCCAATTTAGCAGACTTTAACCAGTTTAGTATACCAAAAGTGCAGTTGCAGGGTATTTTCATTAAGCACATGTATTCATAAAGCTAATGAATTTTATTTATTTGTTTATGTATTGCCAAACACCCTAGTTGTTTGGAATTTGCTTGGTGAGTTCATCAACATACAATAAAATACATACATAAATACATTCATACACATACATAAATCCAACTATACATATATCTCCTATCAATTATAAGGGGTGAAATTTGTAGTATAGTTAGCATGAAATTTCAAATACATTTTGGTATATATCTTTTTCACTAGTATTTTGTACATAGAATATATATATATATATATTCTAAATCTTCATTCATATTTTGTGAAAAAACTGTATGTGACAGAATTTTTTGTTGATATATAGTTTTTTTTCAAGATACAGATCCAAGCCTGCATATTTTTGGGACACAAAACTTAATGCAACTCATGCAACAATGAACCTTCCAAAAAAACACACAGTATAAGTAGTCAAAATGACTCATGCATTATGAAAAAATGGCAGCATATGGGTCTTGAGCAACAGTAAGAATGAAGAAAATAATGACTGGGTGAACTATTCCTTTGGTCGGCACTGCAGCAGAATTAAAGGGTAATCAGTGAGCGGAGGTCTGCGAAATCACATTTACCACTGACAAACACGAATATGGAGATTGAAAATGATCAGAGCCTGGGAAGAGGCCGGGTGGAAAACATCTGAATTAGGTTTTGCATGCGCTTCTCGTGTTTCTAAACTTCAAACAGAAGGATGCAGTAATGTCTGCGATGGTGTTTGTGTGGCTGCTGGAGCTGAATGGATCAGGCAACTGTACGGGAATAAAGGTTGGGGGCGCGTTCTTTTACACCCACGACCTTTGACCCCCTAATGATCTCAGGGAATGTTGTAATGTCATCTATCTGCATGCTAACCACCTTATTCGGCGCCTGAAGGAAAGCCCTCGTGTCTCGAATCAACAGTCGGTTTCATTGTTTGCCTCCAAATCACAGTGAAGTGTGTTTAGGTGTTTGTGTGCCGCTACAAAATATCTGTACAATAATGTTATAAATATGTACTTTTATCCTGTGACTGTCATGTTAGTTCTTAAGTTGATCATGTGCTGGTTCTCTTCTCATATAAACTGCTTTCAGCAGGGTTTGGCACTGTTGCTAATCTAATCACACAATACTCTAATAAGCATTAAGATACATAACACACAAATACTGAGCAAAATGGTTTTTTTACACTCCATATTGAAATAATTATAAATATATCAACACTTCTTGCATTTTATTCATTTTATTTTTCCAGCTTGTGCATATTGTATTGACTCCTCTGTGAAGGATATTTGTGATTCTGCCAGTTTGCAAAAATATAATAATATCTCATTTTATTTACTGTTCAATGGTTTGGTTTTTTTTGGAAGTCCGTCAAATAGGGGTAAAAAAAAGGGGGTATGTGTGTGTGTGTGTGTGTGTGTGTGTGTGTGTGTGTGTTCACTAACTAGCCTCCAGGCAATGTGGGAGCGTCACTGAGCTTGAAATAATGTAGCCGTGCAGGTACAGACACGCCGCATGAGCTTCTTATCTTGTTCTGTGCATCTGTAAGCTGTTTTATAGGTTTATATGTGTATTGATGACCTTCAGATTAAGTTTACAAATATAGAAGCACAATTTAAGGTTACATGATAACTACAGAGCAACTTATAGCGATCCACATCCACATGCATTTAACTGGGACTATACTTTCATTACTGTCAATGTAGTTGAGCATTAATATTTCTGAAAGCTATAATTATGACATTTACATTTATATAGCATAAAGTTGAATAACTTTTGCCCTTAGTTCAGCACATTCTGGTTTGGTTTTTCCTCTGTGACAAAATAACACACAATGCGATTTAAAATGATAAGAGCTTGATTTGCATAATCATTGGGAAGCAGAGACATGTTTTACCGTGAGGTGCTGGAACAGCCATGCCCTCATGATGTTGGTTGCCAGTTTGGGGAAAATGCCTCTTTTCTTGTTGTTCTTCCTCTCTTTATCAGGGTCTTCATCGTCTCCTGTGCTTGGAGAGGCAACACTCTGATCCAGAAAGTCACCTGGGGAAAAGAAACCAATTAGAGTTTGAACAGATTTGAGTGACAGTGTACTGATTTTGTTTATATATATTTGCATTGGTTTCATTCATTTTCATTTTGCTTTTTCCAAAAACCTTCCAATGAATGCAAATGCATATTTAGTTTGATGTTTTTTCTCTATTAAAGTACATCACAAGTACTTCAATTTCATTCACCATAATTTGAGCATGACTACACTGTTAATTTCTTTCATCACAACATAATAATCACATTATTATTTTTTATGCTCTAAATATAAATCATAACAACTATAATTATTTCAAATTCTGTTTGATATGGTTCCAACATCTCTGATAAGTTTAGTTAACAGTTAGTTTTATTAAAGTGGTCATATCATGATGAGCCATATTTTCCTTTCAGAGCTATAAATGTCCTCCCTTGTGAAAATGACCATTTATTGAAAATAACTAGGGGGAAAAAAACACATGGTTTCAGACTAGTTGTCATGTCAGACAGAAAAAAAAATTCAATGTAAAAAGTGTTAACCTGCAACTGTTACCTTTAATATACATAAAGGTAGTTTTGTTGGTATAAATGAATGTATGTAGGATGATTCAGTGATGTTCAATAATATATTTGACCTGAATAAAAGCACTTAATTAAAATGTTACCTAAAATTGTAAAAGAAAAAAAGTAAAAATGCATAACATGGCCCCTTTAAAAACAAAACAAAAAAAGATGTATAATGAATGTTTACAGTATAAAATATCTTTACCATTAACAGTCTTAAAGCATACTTGCTCATACCTTTTATGCGTCAAAAAAATGTAATTTTAGCTGTTTTTGAAAACAAACTTGACATAAAAAGTAAAAAGGTTTGACATGGCCCCTGACCTAAAAGCTAAAAAAAAGGGAAAAAAACTGTCATGCTAATGTTACAGTATTAAAATTCGTAACCTTTAGTAGTCCTAAAAGCCTACTGGCATGTTACCTTTAATATACATAAAGGTAGTTTTGTTGGTATAAATGAATGTATGTAGGATGATTCAGTGATGTTCAATAATATATTTGACCTGAATAAAAGCACTTAATTAAAATGTTACCTAAAATTGTAAAAGAAAAAAAGTAAAAATGCATAACATGGCCCCTTTAAAAACAAAACAAAAAAAGATGTATAATGAATGTTTACAGTATAAAATATCTTTACCATTAACAGTCTTAAAGCATACTTGCTCATACCTTTTATGCGTCAAAAAAATGTAATTTTAGCTGTTTTTGAAAACAAACTTGACATAAAAAAGTAAAAAGGTTTGACATGGCCCCTGACCTAAAAGCTAAAAAAAAGGGAAAAAAACTGTCATGCTAATGTTACAGTATTAAAATTCGTAACCTTTAGTAGTCCTAAAAGCCTACTGGCCCTTTAGGTTTATGCATCAGAAAAAAGGTACAAAATGTCATGAAAATTACATTTGAGCTGTTTTTGAAAACAAAATTGACATAGAAAAGTAAAAAGGTATGACATAAAGCTTAAAATAAGAAGTCAAGCAAATGTTTACAGTATAAACAATGCTCTAGGACAGACTCTGTGCTTCATTGTGATCATTTAACTGTGTGTTAGTCTGTCTGTTGTTTCTCTTTCTCAGGTAGTGAGATATTCTGTTCGAGCCAGACTCACAGCTGCTGCGCTGAGGCACAGCGAACAAACACACACACACAGATGCGGTGCTCGGGGAAGTATGTACTCTGGTTTTTATTGGCCATGGTTGGTGCTCAGAGCAGAGGAGCCCAGAGAAGAGTCTTTATATCCATCATGCACCATTTCCTGTCCAACACACATCCACACACACACGAGCGGCTGCAGTTATTTAGGAGCAGTCTACCGGTGTGTGTACTTGCGTGTTTGTGTGTGTGTGTGTGTGTCTGAGACCCCCGTGGTGGTGCTAAAGTGTAAATGTATGCTAGAGATGACAAGCCTGCAGCAGATCTGTTTCACTTGGCACACAGCGAGACCTTCGCAAACACTCGTGTGTATATCTATAGTAGCGTAGCGTGTGAGTGTGTTACCGTGCTCGCTGCTGTTGTCTCCATTGTGTGAGCCGCGGCGTCTGCAGGCCGCAGGAGCTTCAGAAGAATGAACAGATGCAGCGTCGTCCTCCCTCCAGAACGCCTAGAGAGAGACAGACAGAGAGAGAGAGAGACAGGTAGACAGAGTAATAAGCTGCGTTCAGCATAATATACGATTGGTTAAGTACAGTATAGCGGCGCATACCAGAGGTGTGCTGTAAGGAGTAATACAGAACACATGCTGCAAGAGCAAACAGTTGAAGAGTGCTACAGACTGCTGTATATAAACACACGTGCGCATGCACGCACAAACATCTGCACAGAAATTATAATATAAACAAACGCACTCACATACACGCACAGGATATTTTGAAAACCCATCTTGTTGGCTTTAACCGACCGAATGAAGTGGATGGATACAGCCCTGGACGCTGATTGGTCAATTGAGCATTTAAACTGTGCTAAAATATATAATATAATAACAGCTATGACGTGAAACACCTGTGCAGCTGGCCAGTGTGTATATCACACATATTGTAGAGACCAACTATGAACGCTGCATGTCAGTGACAACTAAATATTTTTATTATGTTATAAAGATGCAATCTGATCAGTGTGTTGCATTTAACTGACACTAAACCTAGAGAGAAATGTCTTAACCCCGGGTTGGCAATCGTTCACATACAAGCGATAAGAGCAAGACAGATTAATATTAGAAGAGACTGTGGCTAGTTGTCACATTTTTGACTCCAATCAGTATTTCTTATAGTGGCATTATTCAATAGATTCAATGTTTATATATTTATACACTTATATATTTATACACACACACACACACACACACGTGTGTGTATATATATATATATAATATATATATGTGTGTGTGTGTGTAGTGTAGTCAAGGCTATTCTTGACTACAAAAAAAATCTATAAATAAAATCTATAAAATTCACCCTCTCTCTCTCTCTATATATATATATATTTATAATTAATTTACATTTATATATATATATATATATAGAGAGAGAGAGAGAGAGAGAGAGAGAGAGAGAGAGGGGGAATTTTATAGATTTTATTTATAGATTTTTTTTGTAGTCAAGAATATTCTTGACTACACTACACACACACACACATATATATATTATATATATATATATATATATATATTCACACATAATGAATTATATATTTTTATAGTATATACTTTTTATGTTGTCAAAACTTTACATTTTTGAAAAATATCCTTGTCCTATAATAGTCTTGACTACATAAGAGAAAGAAAGAATATATGTACATTTTCATTGTAATATATGTATTTTATAGTTATATTTATATTTTAAAGTAATATTTATCATTTATGAAGCACAACTCAGGATTTAGGTTATAATCTGCCTTCATTCATATCATATGGTTTATTTTGTTCACTTGTTAACAAAAAGCTATTACAAAAACATGATGACGTTAGTATGATATTTTAGTTTGGACAATTTTATTTTACAAAACTAAACCTAATTTAAGGGGGTTTTGAACTAGGTGTTTCAAACTAACATTCAAAAGCACTGCTATGAAATACTGTTTTTGTGTGACTGACCTTATAGTTCCCCATGTGACATCTTGCCCCAGGCTCCCCATATATATATATATATATATATATTATTCATAGTTATTTTAAAAGTATCTTATATCTACATTCTGAATTCCATGTTTTATTCAGTTATGAGTTGTTTAGGAAAGTAAATGCTTCAAAATTGGGACAAACTAAAGTAAGTAGGTTATTTACATATTTACGTCGCTCATAATAATAATAATAATAATAATAAGTGAAAGTCCAACCTTCTCTAGTTCGAGCAGATGAAATCGTAACACTTGTATGGCTTGAATCATCTAAAACAAAACAACATATCACGTAACAAAAATGTTTTGTGATTATTGTTTCATTTGATCCAATAGAATACAATTCTGATTCTGATTTTATCCAATAGAATGGAATTGTTTAGCCTAAGGTAAAGACTACTAGCAATTGATTTAAAAAGATTTCAACCCACAGGGCGACCTACCAAATTATCCAAGTCTGGATTGGACGAGAAGTAAGGTTTTTCCGTCCTTATCTGAAATTAATAAATAGCGATCGTATCGTTAGTCCATAATATCGAGGCACGATTTTCACACAAGATTAAATTGGACTGCGTTGTTGGTTGCTAATATCAGAAGGCCTACTGCTTCTTGATGTTGTAATAAAGCGTTGGTAGACCTGCTTTGCAAATACTGTAATATCTTCGTCAAAGGATTCAGACGAGCAGACGTCGCCGGCCACACCGCTTTCTCTCGGCGTACAAGTCGCTAATTCACATTTTTCGAAAACTAGTGCAAGCAGAGGGAAGAGAGGGTGCCTGAAAAACAAAACACATTCAATGGAGTTTATAGCCTATTTGTGGCGAAAATAACGATTTGCCTCAAGCACAGGACATTCAGGCTGGAGGCCCTGCGTTTTTTCTCTCCAACTTTTTTTTCAATAAAAATGAAATGAAATATATTTTATGTGAAGTACTTTTATTTTCTGCTTTTATGCACCATTTATGGTTGTGACAACAGGCAAACAAGTTCATTCTGGCATTGCTACAGCCTGTCGTTAAAAACTGATATAGTATTTGTTCTAAATGTTGGCTAGTCTATAAAAAAATTTTTCAATAGCAGACAATATATTTTTTTTCATACTTTCATACTTGGACCAGCAGTAAGCCAACCAACAGTCTGAAAGTGCAAGGTAACAGATGACCAGCTTAGATTTACTAGTGGCCACTTTAGACTAGAAACCAGCATTAGAATTAGATTTTTTTATTTATTATTATCCTAATAATGGCACATGATGACACCTACTAAAAGTTTTATTTAAAAGTAAACTGAAATATCTAGCATTGTTACTATGTACATTTCTAAAAGTGTGAAAAATACATAAATTGAACACTATATAGGTTTCATTTACTAAATGCATTCTCTAATTTAGGCTAAGTCAGAGAAGGAAAAAGACCAGCAGTGATCTAATGACAACTGTATGTCCTTATGGCGCCCTCTACTGGCATTATTTATGTTGAAAAGATTTCCCCAAGCCTACAACACTGACGTGTTGCTTTATAACTGCTTAACCTGAAGCTGAAGACTAAATGCCTTTCTTTATTTTATATTTATTTTTTACTTAACTTGTATTGTTTAATGTATAATGTTAACTGACAATGACAACAGTTTTTCAATAAGCTGTTTTACCGAGACTTTTTCTCATTTATAAAATATTGAGGAACATTCCACTTTTTGTTGCAGATCTATTTTTGCTACATGTAATGATGTAATAGCCAGTGTTGGGGGTAATATATTACAAGTAACGCGAGTTACGTAATCAGATTACTTTTTTCAAGTAACTAGTAAAGTAACGCATTACTTTTTAATTTACAAGAGAATATTTGAGTTACTTTTTCAAATAAGTAACGCAAGTTACTTTTTTTGTTCAATGTATTGACTGACAGCTCTCCTGTCCCCATGTTGAGAGAAATCAGATGTTACTGTAGTTCTAAAATAAATATGAATATGCATTAATTTATCTCACTCACACACAAAAAACACACAGATTCAGTATTCCTCAAAATGAATACAAATAATACAACTCAGAATATGACGCAAACCTGCAATAATTAAATGTTAAACAACACAAATATGCTTTATGTATTTATTCCCATTCTATTAACCAATGTCTTTGCTTCTGACCTTCAATGATCTAGTTCAACCGCACTAATAAGCAAAAATGACTCTAGACGAACATTTGTGTCTTTGTTTATTGCTGAAGTGTGTTGAAATGTCTTCTTCTGCACTCTACTGTACGGACGTAAATTAAGTTTCCCTTCAGCCTGAGGCTTATTCATTTCACTTTTGGTGTGAAATGGCTTTTATATTTGCCAAAAATAGAACTTTTTTATTTTAAAAACAAACAAGCAAGCCCTGTCCAGATTTTAAAAGTAACGCAAAAGTAACGTAACGCATTACTTTCCATAAAAAGTAACTAAGTAACGTAATTAGTTACTTTTTATGGAGTAACGCAATATTGTAATGCATTACTTTTAAAAGTAACTTTCCCCAACACTGGTAATAGCTACTCATTTCCAAAAAAATTAATAAAAAAGTGAGTAAAGCAACCGTCTCCTTTTACCACGTGGTGGCAGCATATGAACGGCTCTGACTCGACGCGTAGCGCACGCACTGATTTTCGGGTTGGAACAATTCACTTTAAAACGGCTTCACTATTCCAACTATTTCCATTAAAGACTCTTTCTCCTTACAAGTAGTATTTCATCTAACGTGCTTTCCTCAAGTCTACAAAATCTACTTGTGTTTTTGTTTCAGAAAACACTTCTGAAAAGCTAGCAATGGCATTTTAATAACTTTGCCTCTGACTGTGCTGAGAGTCTGAAAAACTGAAAACTCCTGATTCAAGTTCAACAACCAACACATTTTACCTACTTATTTTATCTCTTTGTTTTTGAGACTACCTGGTCAAGATTTAGGCCCAATGTATATTACATACACATGTTCTAAAGAAATGCCTAGACATATACAAGTTTGTCTATAAAACTTCAGATCATTATATGCTACAAGTTGATCATTTGCTGATCAACCTGCAACCGGGATCTAAAAACCAAACTGACCACCTTGAGCTGGTATGGTCTTAAGGGGGCTACCAGATTTTCCTTGCACTCTTTCTTGTTTTCTAGGCAGCCTATATGTATATTTGAAGCAAAAAGTTTACATACACCTTGCAGAATCTGCAAAATATTATTAAAAAAGAGGCAACATAAATAGCTTTTTTTCATTTAGTACTGCCTTGAAAAAGTTTTTCTCATAACAGACATTTACATATAGTCCATTATATTATCTGCATTTACACAAATGAAACAATGAAACAAGTTTATATATTGATTATCAATACTGTGTGTCATTATCATCCACAACTTTTTTTATGATTTGTTTTTATGGTAAGCCCCATGTTTGCCCTGAGCAGTCCTGTTCTGCAGAAAAATGTCCTGTACATTCTTTGGTTTTCCAGCATCTTCTGCATAGACTGTATGAATTTCAGTTCCATCTTTTCACACTGGTGAGAACTGAGGGACTATGTAAGTATTTTATATAACTTCTGAAGGGCAGTACAAAAAAAACAACAAAAAAAAGATCTTCAAATAAAATAAAGACAATTTCCACCAATCATCATGTACAAAAGTTTACACCCCCTGCCTCTTAAAGGAATAGTTCACCCCAAAATAAATTTTTTTGATATTTTGCAATTTACTCACCCTCAAGTTGTATAGGAAAAAATACTACGGAAGTCAATGGCTACTGACAACATCCTGGCTATCCCAGTATGTTGCCTTGAGCATCAGTGAATGTTCGCAGTTTTGATCATCCAGGTGACAACACACGGTATTAAGAATTAAGAATCAAGAGTATTATAAATTAGCAGTGATAAACACAAAATGCATTTTTTTTTATAATCCCCCTTTTTAAATCATTAACATTTTGCAGATTCTTCAAGACTGACTTCAATTATAAATATGTTACATTTCTTTCAAATTACTTTTTGTACAATAAACAATCCTAGTAATCTAAGGTGAGAGGAGGCACTAGGTGGCAGGACGTCACACCGGAGATCCCTCGGTCCAGAACGGGCTGCAGTCGTTCCAATGTGACGTCATTGCTTCCGCAACACCCCCCCTTCCACCCCTCCCTCCCTCCCTCCCTCCCCCCTCCAGTGTCGGCGGCTCTCGCCCGCTGCTGACTACACAATCCAACATGGAGTAACGAGAGATGGGGCTCCTCTTCGAGACCAGCGCGCAGGAGACGCGAGGCGACAGACCATCGATAGAGCCACCGGGATGTTGCATAACGCGAGGATTAACCAGATGCATTGCAAACCGTGACGGATAAAGTGCAGTGCGTGGAGGAAGAACGAGAATAAGGAACGCCGAGAGACGGATTTGGGGGAAACTCGTTGATGCACTGGACTTTAAAAAAGGCGAGGTGGAAAATCGAGACGACATGAAGCCCGAACGCTGCGTGCCCGCGGTGGGATATTATTTCTATTGTAGGTGAAGCGTGGGGAAACATGACTGAGGAATCGCACCCAGACGAGTGAGTATTCACTTTTTGCGAAAACGACGCATGTGGACGCGAATGGAAATCTCATCCCGTGTCCAAGAATGCGTTCCCGAGCTCAGTCAGATGCAGGGGATTCGTGCATATGCGCTTCTGCGAGAGACGCTGGAGATGTTCATACTAAGAAACAATGCAGTGTCAAAGGGATTTGAGTGCTGGGCCCCTGCTGCAGGGCTCTGGTCTCAAACCGAGAAGGGGGAGGAGGAGGAGGGGCTCGAGCGGAAACATTTTGTGGAGGGATCCTTTACTGAATACTTTATATCTAAAGGCGAATTAGCGCTCCGAGGAAGCGAATAGACGACTGCAAAGTTTCTAAACGCACAACGCTAGAGCAACGAGCTCGTATGCGCTCCCAGAGCGCCCGTTCTTGGCGTCTTTCTTTGTGGTGGTCTGACATGCCATATCCGCCATTTCTTTTTCGTGAATCGCTCTCATTTGCATACTGTCCTTCATTCATAAAAATACAGACGGGGGCGCGTGCAGCAGAGCGCCTCAGAGCTGTGCTGATGTTAAAGCAGGCCCTATGTGGCATATATTGGCCTATATGTGCTTTTAAATGTTGCATTTAACCAGTCAGCTTCCTCTTTTGCAAGAAACAAAACAACAGCGAATCCTATAGACATAAGACGAGTTGCATGATCGTAGCGCACAGTGTTGGTTGTCGCCACAGTAGCCTGTATACTTGTTTAGCGAGTATATTGTACTGTTTGAGTGTTTTTCTTTTTGCCACATTCTTCTGCCTAATATAAATTCTCATAGCTCTCGGTAGTTTGACTCAAGCCGATCAAGTCTCGCTAATAGCATTAGAGCCGGCTTGTTAACTTAGTGAGCTCTTTAGGGGCTTAAAATTAACTTCTGTAACAAACACTCAACCTGTATTAACAAGGTGATGTTTATTTAGGCTGTTTTTTTTATACCGCAATCCGTTTTGATAAATCGATTATGTGAGTTTTTATCGGTAATACTAATGAGTTATTAGTTTGAACAATTATTCTGAAGGAATATTTTTTAGAGGAGACTGATGTTGTAACTTGTTTCAATGTATATAACTTGTTTTTTTTACAGTGCAATACTGTAAAATAGCCTACTGTACAGTGTTATATACAGTATTATAACCTGAGTAAATTAATGTAATGTGGTGTTGTTACTCCTGTTGTAAGGCCAATTTAAAAATAGACATTTTTATGGTGGCTGAGAGAGCTCAACTGGCTGCAACTTCAGAAAGAACATGAAAATATAAAAAACACCAGAAAATTAAGAAAACACCATCATCAGTTTGACAGCACATGTGCTGAAAATACTCACAACACGACCAAATACAAAAACACCAAATCCTCACACCACGACCAAATACAAAAACACCAAATCCTCACAACACGACCAAATACAAAAACACCAAATCCTCACAACACAACCAAATACAAAAACACCAAATCCTCACAACATGAACAAATACAAAAACACCAAATCCTCACAACACGAACAAATAAAAAAACACCAAATCCTCACAACACGAACAAATAAAAAAACACAAAATCCTCACAACACGACCAAATACAAAAACACCAAATCCTCACAACACGACCAAATACAAAAACACCAAATCCTCACAACATGAACAAATACAAAAACACCAAATCCTCACAACATGAACAAAGAAACGCGCTGCAAATGCTTAAGTTACAACATAAACCAATAAAGAAATGCGCTGCAAATATTTATTTATAATATTTTGTTCCAAATGATGCTTACAAGCTCTAATGAGCAAGTTAAAGGTGACAAAGGCAAAGAAAACTTTGACTTTATTCACAACATAATAGTCTCGAATTTTTCACGGTTACAGTTATTGTGTATTTAGTCAGCTTACTTAGGCTAATAATATCCCCCAAAAAAGCTAAAAACTCATATGATCGGGATGTTAAAGTAAACAAAAATCTCTTTCAGAAATCTTTCAGTGAAACCCTTGATAAATCTGTCTCAGCCATGTTCGTCACGTTGCTGTTCCCTTAAACATTTCAGATGTGGTCTGTGCCTATTTGCAGCACGCGTGTTGTCAAATTGATGAAGAAGTTTTCTTAACTTGCATGTTTTTTTTTCAGTTTGCAGCTGGTTGAGCTCTCTGGGCCACCTTACATTTTATAACCTGAGCTTAAATTAATTATGATAATCATATTTACCTGTTCAGAAAACAACTAGAAAAACACAAGACAGTCAAACAGTTCTAACATGTGTGCGTGTTGGTTTTCAAAACAATAATGTTTTTGTGAAATATTTATGATGTTTAAATCCATAATACCGCGATAAAGGCAACGGTATATCGGCCACTTGTTGCTATGGTTTCCTTCTCGCGCAAGGGCGATTTAACTTGTGCTGACTGAACTTGTAGCCTAATCTAACATCGTCGTTGCAGGAATGGCTTGTTGTGCAAAAGTTACATATTTCATTTTAACTGCTTGAACTCCACTTATGCTTCCTCTACTCAAGATGTAACGCCGAAGCTGGTGAGGAATTTTTCTTATTTAGATTTATGGCACACTCACGCCCGTTTGAGTAAATACGTGTGTCACACTGGGATGCAAAGACCCATATAATAGCCCGAGGTTGTGAAATGTTGACTTTTATCGGCGGAGGGGAGGGCTGTGGGCTGCTCCAAAATGGGAGGAGGTTTCTGAGAAGGCGCTCCCGGAATGATTGTGAAGGGAAACAATGGAGAGAGGATTAAACACAGATCCGGCGGAAGTGAAGCGGTGAAGCGTAACCTCGCTGTCACGCGCCTCGATTGTTTGATTCTCAGTGACTTGCCAGTAATGAATGGATTACTCTGCACAATTCATTTCACTGCAAGGAAATCTTTCTTTTTTGCTTAATAGGCATTCATCTCTCTTTTTGTGTAGTCTAAACCGTTATGGCCCCAGGTATCACAGATTGAAGTTTCATGTCTTGCAAGGTTGAAATATATATGGATACTTTAACAACAATTAAAAGGTCTGAATGGCATTGCTTGTGTTGCAAAGCAGTTGTAAAACAAATACTAGACTTTTTTTTTTTTAATCAGAGCTAACTTTACTGACCCCAGAACTCAAGTGTCTAAATACTTTTATTTCACTGAATAATTTTTAAAACATAGTTAAAGGAATAGTTTGCCCAAAAATGAAATTTGTCATTTACTCACCATCAAGTTGTTCCAAACCTGTATGAGTTTCTGGTGAGTAAATGATGGCAGATATTCATGTTTGGGTGAACTGTCCTTTTAAGATTGTGAAATGTGTCGCTTGATTGCATTAAAAGTGTTTTTTAACCAGTTTGGTGTTTTGTTATCTAACGCAATGACATTCATGCAGTGTTTAATTGTGTCTAAATACATTTCGGGGCCACTGTATCAACATGCCTTTATCACAAGACCTGGAGTGAAGGAAAATTGTCAGGCAGTTTGTTTGAAAGTGTTGTTTAAGGACATGGGATTGGACATGTATCACTATTGTGCTATGTTTTTACTTGAAACCATCGGCGCCCGGTTTATGTATTTTGAGTTTGCTTAAATGATACTTTCAAATAGGCCAGTGTTTCTCAACCCTGGTCCTGAGCGCGACCCCCAACACTGCACATTTTGTATGTCTCCCTTATCTGACAACCATTTCAGGTCCTGGAGTTTCTTTTAATGAGCTAATGAGTTGAATCAGGTGTGTTTGATTAGGTAGACACACAAAATGTGCAGTGCTGGGGGGCGCCCAGGACCAGGGTTGAGAAACACTGAAATAGGCTAATGGATGTACTTGGAATTAGTGTTGCTCTCACTACTTTCTGTGCCACTTTCCATCACTGGCGAGTGGACAACAGGAAGTGTGGCCTGTCTTTCCAAAGCCCCGCTGACGCCCGAGCGTTCGATCGCGGCGTGAGGAAGGCCATCGAGGACCTCACAGAGGGTGTGTGGATCCGTGAGGAACATGAGAAAGGTTACCTTTTAATGTGTTACACGTTGACTAAGATCATAACATGAATCTTGTTCTTTTTTTCTTTTCTCCAGGCTCCACCACTTCTTCCTCCACGCTGCAGAATGAAGCCGAACTGGGTGATGATGATGTTTTCACGGTGAGTCTCGGACTAGAGTCTCTACATTCATGTATTTGCCCTCAAATGTCTTTAAAGGATGATTAATTATTATTTCTTTTCAATCAGAGGAGCCATAATTTCAGTATATTCATAATATGGTGTATTTTAACGAATATACTGAAATGGTGGCTCCTCTTTGTATCCACTTTGACAATACTTAGTAATAAACATTAAGATTTACTTGCACAGATGGTTTTAATTTGATAAATGTTGTGTTTTTGTGCACATTTTTGAGTGATGAAATAAAATGTTGAAGTGATTAATTTAAACAATTCGAACTGATTCATAGAAATTAATCAACAGAAGGTTTTAAAAAACCCTTTTTGTTTTGTTTTTTTATAAAAAAAATTTCATCTAGGCATTGCTTAACTTTATATCACTAGAAAATCTCTAAGAATATATGCTATTAATGGGTCAGTTGCCAGTATTTTTCTGTTGGTTGGTTTTGCCAAGTGTGTGTGTGTGGGCTGTGCTCAGGAAGTGACCTTTGCTCCCTTTTGTCCTCCTATTGCTCCTAAATCAACACAACAATGCCACGCCAAAGCCTTTAGATACAAGAGTCCGTTTATAACACGCATGCATTCAGAAACTCACAATATACAGAGTTAAGAAACATGAACGTGTGTTTCTTTCGGTTTGACTTCAGGCTTTTAGGTGTTCAGTGATCAGCGTTTGCCATGGTCTCTCAGCAGTGGTGTTCCTCTAATCGCTAACTTTAGATGTTTATGACTCACAGCTATTCATACAAGCCCAGCCAGACACTGATTATTACTAATCAGAGTAGTCAGTCGCTCCTAAGTTTAGAGCGGGAGAGATGGGATGTGTGCAGTAGGTTCAGAATGGTTAGCAGCTGTTGGATGTCTAATTCCCTCTGAGGTAAAGTCTAAAGTGATAATTAGCACAGCCACAAATACATTTCCATCCAGACATTACACACACACTCACAACTCTGCATGTACTTAGTATGCATGTAGATTCACACTCAATCTCAAGACACTATTCATTTATCATCTAAATGCTACAGTAAAAAACTGGTTAACTGTGTGTTCATTTAACATTTATGGTAATATAATAATAATAGTATTAATGTATTATAATTAACTGTATTATTTATATAATATAAACATTAATTATATTATTATGTATTATTAACAAGGCAATGCACTTTTACGGAAAAATATTCCGTAATAAAAATAAGAAATAAATTATATCCTATTTATAAGTGAATGGTATAAATTAGACCACATGTTTCTTTTTCTTTCCTTTTTTTGGTAAATATAATGTATAAATCACCTTATTATTTGTGGTGAACATTCATATTTAACAAAATCACCCATGTATTTTTACAGTAAAATATTGTAAAAAGTGTGTAAGTAAAATTAACATTTAAAGTAAAAAAATATATATATATATATATTTTTTTTTTTACAAGACAATAGATGTACTGATTAAATATGTTTTTGATGTACTATGTGTTAAATATGTTTTATAATTTCCAGTTTAAAAACATAAAACAATATTCCCTGTAGTCCAAAAAGATGCATCAGTTTTGCTTACATTTTATTTAAATGGTCATTTCTTCTTATTTTCCTATGTTGTGCATTTTGGGGTGTTTGTTACTTTATGTTGTGTAGTTAATGTTTACTGCATTATTTAGTGTGTGTGTTTCACATGTGTCACCCTGATGCTGCAGCTGCCAGATTTGTGCTGTAAATTTCACAAACGTGTTTTACAGTGTAGTGTAGATTTCAGTCTTTGCAGAAGAAAGTAGCCAGATGACTTAAGAGAGGCGAGCTGTGTTTGTAATCATCTCAAGCTCTTTCTCTCACACACACTCTTGAGTTATTGATGGCCGTATGGCTCTCTGTCAACTCTTAAAGCAGATGCTCACACACACACACACTCTGCTGGCTCTCGTTCAGGCTCCAGGCTTCAGGAAGAGCCACAGGAAGGAGACAGTGTGGATTTCAGGGGTTGAAGGTCAGAGATAATAGTGCTGATGATAGTACTCAAACACTTCATTTATACAAACCTTGTGTACCCGTACACAGGGTCAAAGGTCAAGCAGAATGACCTGTGCGGTGTTGTTGTGGAACATTTGAAATGCTTTCATACAGATCCATTTCTGTTTTTATACAAACACATTGAAGTGATGATTTGATGCATTTCAATGTTCTATTTTTCTGCTGAATCCAAGTTATAATTAGTCTTATATCATGGTAACGTTATAAATCTCAACAAGGCTATTTGTGCTGGAAATTCCGCGAAAAATACGACTGTGTGACCCTCGTTCAAGGGCTGGGAGTCATTAAGTTTGTGCCACCATGATCCTGCCAACATGCTCAAATTGGGAAACAATTTCTATTCTTGCTGTCTTTGTCTGTCCGTCAGAATGCCACAGACAGCTCGTCTAACTCTTCTCAGAAGAGAGAGCCGTCCATGCAGACGCTCGCACCAATCAGCTTCTCCGAGCCCCACCATTGCATTCTGGGACATCTCTACGACCAACACAGACACTCTGACCGTTTCTACCTGGAACAGGCAAGTTTGCATGAATAATTTGTTTGTGCAAAATTTACTAAAGTTATGTCATTGTAAAATGTATGCTTTGTTTTCTGTGTTTTTGGTCCTGCCCTGTCTGACCTAGTTTCCCCCAGTCTGTTTAATTAGTCATTCTGTTCACCTGTTGTCTGATTATCTCATTAGTTCCCTTTGTTTGGTTCTTGCTTATAAACACTCAGTTCTCCTTGAGTCTTGGTCTGTTCTCGTCTATACTTAGTGGTTTTCTGAGTTTCCTGTGGATTTATCTATTAAAGACTGTTATTGTTATTTCTTCTTGGTCATGTGCTTCACTAACAACAACCAATTGTAACAGAAGAACGGACTAAAACAGTTTCTAGCTTTGTTCTCTCTCC